CTAATCATCTCAAAATTATTAAAATAAATACCGAAATTATTATCATTAAATTTTAAAATTATATGGAAGTTAATTGATGATGCATCTATTAGTTTGGTTGCTGTCAGAAATTAATTTTGATTAAAGCATTTGAAGAATCAACTAAAGTAAGAAAAGTTTACTACATTATAAGTAAGCATTCATTAAATAGTTAAAGCTAGTGAGATAGATTAGAAAAATCAACATGAATAAAGTCAGAGATAGATTTGAAGAATAAAGCACTAAAACATCAAATAAAGGATAAAAATCAACAGAAGTTATCCTCATTCTAAGTTTTAGAGGTGGATTTAAGATTAAATTTAATTGAAAATATAAATATGATATGAAATTACTTAAAAAAAGAAATGCACTTTTACACATAACGAAAGCAAATTTACACTATGATATATTTATTAAACTAATTCTAGTAAAGTTTATCAAATCTTTCTTCTATAGCAAGTGTAAGCAAAATCTGTTTAAAAATATAAGGACGAGATTTTTCAAAGAGACACTTGAAGAGCAAGAGATTGAAATCATTAATTAAGCATTATGAAGAAAGAACAACTGAAGAAAATAATAATAATAATTAATTTATAATAATGCTTATATAAATTATTAAAATTGAAAGAGATTTCTTAAATAGCAATAACAAATAACAGCCTTATTAAAATATATTTTTACATCCTCATATCATTAATGATCATTTACATTTAAATTATAGTTTTGGTATTAATATGAAGAACGCTAAAAAGTAACTTAATGATTGTTGCATAAATAAATATATTATATAATACACATTTAACCTCTTCTTTGCCAGAATACTAATTATATTCTCTACATATTCAAGACCTTTTAATTGATAATAATTAATATTGAATCAATAAAGATATGTTCAGATTTCCTGAAATGAAAATCTAATATTGATACACTTATATTAATGTTTGCTATTTTGGTGGCATTAATTCTTTTTAGAAAGGAGGACTACAACTTGATTATATTTAAAAAAGAAGGGTGCTTGAAATTTCTGCATATAATTGTAACTTTCCTTTATGATTTTGTACTAAATTAAATACAAGAGAATATTATGAAGAAAGAGGACATTACAAAAGGATTTATTTTACTTGAGTTACTTGCTTACTTTCAAAAACACATTTTTGTTAGATGACTCTCCTCATAGATTGTAGTTAAAACACTAGAAATATAAATAATGTAATGGAAATGTCTTCACCTGCTGTTGATCTGTTGATCTATTAGATCAGGCTCTATTTCTAATTTTGGTGATTTACATCATATACTACCATACTCATCTCAAATAAATTCAACCAATAACTTTCTTATTTGAACCCCATCATCAATCTTCAATTTCAGGATATATTCAAAAATCCTTAATTCATTTGATTCAAAAAAATATAATCTACCAACTACTTTTACCAGAAAAAGAGTTTTTAAAAACTGAACAACATGAACACCACGACTTAATAAATATATTTCCTTAAATTCATATTATTTTACATTAGGCTCTATTTTCAATATCTAGTATCCCATCTACCAACCTTCAGACCTTTTATATTATATTCTCCATTATCAGACCCAAGCATAATACTAAGACCCCATAATCAAATCGAACCACTTTCCAATCTTTTTTCTAACCTTCAGTTTAATCATAAATCCACCACTACTAATCACAAATATTATTCCTTTTACTTATAATAGATTACATTTATTATTTAGAAAAGATAAGAGTTTATCAATAGAATATATTTCAATAAATAAGTAACTTCAATTTAATAATCACAGACACGACCTCAAAAAGGAAATGCTATAAAAATTCCATAATTAACAATTCTCATTTTCAAGAATAAAATATTATTTGATCATTTCTAAGAAAGAAATGATAACCTTATATTTCTTATTTGCCTAATTTTAGGTGTGAATAATCATGCTGAATAAATCAAATCATATTAATTGTGAGCTTAATATTAAATTAATATTTTATTTTTGAATTATTACTTTTTTTGTAATGATTTAATAACATATATACATAATAGAGTTAAGAAATTGCAATAATCAATATAAATATGTGATAAACATAAAAAATCTTAAAAATATTATAAATATAAACGAGGCTTTGGAGTGCAAATTTAAATAATTGAGGATGAAATCTAACTTATAATTAGAAGTAAGAATTATATTAAAATAATGCTGTATAGTATTTCTTAATAACTGTAATAAATAGAATCTAGTTCAACAATAAGATTATTGGTTTTTTAAATAGATTTTCTTTTTATCTACTATTTTAGAATCCTATTTATCTTAGCTAACCATTATTATTAACAATTCTTCTTTCTGAACAATTAATAACATTCTATCTAATCTAATTATAATGTGACAGATGTAACAAAATTAAATAGTTAGATTTAAAATAGCAAAATTATATTTTTACTTTCAATCCACAGAAGGCTATCTAATCCTTTCTATTCTACCTTAAAAATTTGACTATTTATTTAAATAAATAACAGAATCAGAAAATAAAATAATAACTTAAAATCTAAAATTCGATTCATGATCTTTGGTTTGGTAAAAAAGGAAATTCAATCCTCTTTATACTTATTCCAGATTTATTATAAATAAGCCCAATTAAAGAATCATTACATTAAAAGATCAACTGCATGATTCAAGATTTAGAAGGGAAATCAACTAGAATTCTAAGGTTACCTATCATGTAATAAAAATTAACTATTGATCTTTCTAAATGATATCAACATAATATAAAAATAATTTTCATGTCCAATAATAGGATTTTCAATAAAATAGAAATATTCTTTACAATAAGAAGGAGTGCATGAAAAATTAAAATACCTAAGAATATTTGAAACCTCAGCTCAAAAAATTAAATGAATTTCAAGAAATTTAAAAATAAAATCTTCACATATTATGTTTATTAAAAGATCATCAATTATATACAAATATCTATTTTATAAGAAAATATCCTCAAATTTTGGAGGAACAAATAATTGGGATAAAAAATTAATTTTAAAATATTGAGCTTATTTCAAAATTATTTTTTAAAAAATCACAAAATAATGTTTAAAAAAGACATCATCGCTGAAGATAGTTAAAAACT